CCCCGCCCCGGACCCTGCGCCTCCGCCCGGGCCTCGAGCCTGGCCGCGGGGAGCCGGGAGCAGACCTCGCCCGGGCGGCTCGAGTTACCGCCCGGCCCCACCCCTCCCAGTGCTCTCTCCCGCCGCGGATCTTTTGCCAAGCCAGTTTGGGATCCACCCCACACCTCAGGGAAACTGAGGCCCGGGACTGTGTGGCTCTGCCCGAGCCTCGGAGCTCGTCCATGCCAGGGTGGCCTTGAACCGGGGGCCCAGAGGTGAGGTCAGGCGGGCTGCTCCACCGGGTCTCCCACCCGAGCCCTTCTGCCCCTTAGTTCCCTGCCCCCCTCCCCCGTTCCTGGCCAAGCTAAGGAAGGCCTCAGCTCCCAGCTCCCAAGGTCAGCTCCTACACTGCCTGCAAAGCCCTTCCCGGATTCTGCAGGTCTCTGCCGGTGCAGGTCATTCATTTCTGCTCGCACCTCTCCAGCGGGTCTGCAACCCACGGTGGGCCCCAGACCCTGCCTGGAGGCGTTGCCTACAGGACCCCAAAAACCCGGTTCCCAAAGGTCCCTAGACGCCTTGTGAGCCCAGACGCCTGCGGTGAACTTGTGGCTTGTCACCTCTGCCTTTGCAGTTCCTGCAACCTAGAGGGGCCTGGCTTCCAGCTCTACCCCAGCCTCGACCTCTGTGTCCTTCCCACCACTGAATTCTCAGACGCCCCCCACCCCACCCCAACACCTGGCGGTGGAGACCCCAGGTTTCTGCGGCTGGCTTGGGTTATATTTTCATTATAGCATAGTGCTGATCATCACAGAAACTCACCATACAGCCCACCCTTATTTTGTTTTTTGTTTTGTTTTTCTGTCAGTTCTGAGGCACAGGCCTCTTGCTCTGATTTGGCTTTTCTGCTCAAAGCTGGCTTCTCTACCACTTGAGCCAACACCTCCACTTCCAGCTTTTTGGATAAGAGTCTCACAGATTTGCCTGCTGGGGCTGGCTTCAAACCTCCATCTGCAGATATCAGCCTTGGAATAGCTAAATGACAGGCGCAAGCCGCCAGTGTTCGGCAAGCTTTCTTTCTTGTGTCTCCTTCACTAAATTTAATTAATCGTATACTATAGACCATGATGACAATTTGCCTTATGAAAGTGTGACTCTAAGTGTCACTATTCCACAATACTGTGAAATATAGGTAATCACCTAATCTCAATTAAAGAAAAAAAGTGAAAAAATAATCTTACACGCTCTAGTAAACGTGACAGAAGGTAGTGATTGTTGAGGAAAACCGCACAGTAAGGGAGGCCAGTTGTCGTGTGGTCGGGAGACTGGGCAGAATGGGCAAAATAGTCCCTATGGAGAAGGGACCACTTGGCAAATATTTGCAAGCGATAAATGAGTCAGTTAAACCTAGATCTGGAAGGTTCCAGGCAAAGGGAATAGCGGGGAGGCCTGTTGTGTTTGAGGAACTGAAGCCGGCTAGGGGTTTCCCCGCGCCCCCCTCCCCCCCCCCGTAACTCCAGAGGAAGGCAGGGGTTTGACAGAGGAGCGATCTGAGCTGGACTTTCAAGGATTCCTCGCCAGCAGAGGAAAGAATAGATGCAAAAGGCAGCCCAGGGAAGGAGCTGCTGTCACAGGCAGGAGAGACGCGAGGGGATCTGCAGAGCAGCGAGAGGCAGCCAGTTCACCGCGGAGTTCAAAGGTAGAGAGGGATTCTGGGCGCTGGTGGCTCACACCCGCAATCCTCGCCACTCAGGAGGCTGAGCCCTGAGGATCAGGGTTCTAAGCCAGCCAGGGCAGGAACACCGGTGAGCTCTCATCTTCCACTGAGCCACCCAAAAGCCAGAAGTGGAGCTCCAGTCTTGAACGGATAACGCTAAGGAACAGGGCCCTAGTTCAAGCCACAGCACCACAAGAAGGGAGGGATGAGAAAAATGCGAGGGGTGTCATTACCTGGAAAGTGGCAGGTGTTTGACTTGGGGCCAGTTTGGTTTGAGATCTGGCAGCTCTCAAGTGAAGGTGTGTCTGGCACTTAGATGCTCAATTACTATGTGAAGGAAAGAAGGAACTGTCTCGGAGGGGGAAGGAAAGTCTCCGTTTTCTTTCACCCATTCATTCTCCCAGCGGGGCGTTTTCAGGTCCACGATCGTGTTCCAGGGCATCCCTTCATTTCCTCTTACAGTCCCGGAGAGGCCCAGGCTCAGCGCGAACCACCTTCCGCCACCGCCCGCCCTCGCCGAGCAGAGCGAGAGGGGCGGGGCGTGAAGAGGCTCCGCCCCGAGAGGGTGGGGCGTCGCGTTGCTAGGGGAATTCTGATAGGTTGTGCTGGAGTCCCGGAGGCCCCGCCCCCGTGGAACGCGATAGGAGAATCAGTTGACTGGAACAGCGGAGGGTCGCGGAGGCGGAGGCAGGCGCGGGGGCCGGGCGCGCGGCGGGGCTGAGCGAGCGGGAGGTGAGTGCGGCGGCCGGGGACCCGGGGCCGGAGCCGGGGCGCTGGGCCTGCCGTCCTGTGGGCCGAGGGCGAGGACCCGGATCCGGACGGAAGCCGGGTGCCTGCGCGGCTCCGGCCTGGCACACCGCCGGCCCGGGCGCTCGGGGTGGAGGTCCGCCGGAACAGACACCCCGTGAGGTGTCCCCGAAGGGGCAGCCCAGGCCCCCGAGAGCGGGATCCGGGCCGAGGTGAAGGGCAGCGGGGGCCGGGTAGCCGCCGCCCTCGTCCTCCTAACGGCTTCTCCCTTCCAGACGCCGACGCAGAACGCCGGGAGGAGCCAAGCCGTCCGGAGCCGCGGGCCGCGGGCCGCACAGCCATGCTGCTGAGGACAGGTGCCTCCCCGGGGGGCTTCGGGAGAGAAGCTCCACCCTGTGGTGCCACCCTTCTTTCCTGGCCTCTTGTTATTTTGGGAACTGGCCTAGGAAAGGCACCCAGGAATCCCTTCCATGTTTCGACCTCATCAAGGGCCCCGTCTTAGGTGCTGAGCGCAGCCCCATAAGGGAGGGATGGAAACTGAAGCCCAATGGGGGGAAAAAAGCAAGGGGCTGCATGCAAGGCCTCCTGGGTGACCACAGAAGCCCTGATGCGGGTAAAGAGCCAAGAGCCCCAAGACCTAGGGTGTACTTAGTGCCATGCTCTGTGCCATTACTTACTGCTCTGTGCTTGTCAACCCAGTCAGTCCTTGCAGGAAGTGTCCATTCCCCCCAGAACACGGGAATCTGGTTCCCCGAGTGTGCAACCTGCCTTTGCAGGGCTGTGGGTGAGATGAGGGGCAGGGCGGTGGGAACCACTCACAGCCCCCACCCTACCCCAGTGCTCTTGCTGACCCTGATGGCCCAAGTGCTGATGCTGGAGAATGGCCTCCTGCGGACTCCTCCCATGGGCTGGCTGGCCTGGGAACGCTTCCGATGCAACATTGACTGTGATGAGGACCCAAATAACTGCATTAGGTAAGGGGCACCCCCACCTGACAGGCACAGCCTTGCCCAGAGTGGGGCCCGGGAGTGGAGGAGGGTGAGCTAGCAGAAGGGACAAGGTCTAAAACACTCAGCCTCGTGATCTGCTCAAGGCCCCTGTGGGGCAAGGCCTTGCAGTGGACCTGGCCCCTGAGATCATTGAAAGGGGATAACCAGAAAGCCCAGGGAGGCCCCACAGGCTGCTTTTGGCCCCTGGCACCATCCTTGGGGGTCATTCACATTTGATAGCTGGCTTGGTCCTCAGCTGCTAGCAGGGTCATGCAATTTACAGTAGGATTCACACTCAGAGCTGAGGGAAGAGCAGGGATGAAGGCCACACTGGGCCACTGAGCTGCCCCATTCCCCTGCCTCTTGCCAGTGAGAAGCTCTTCATGGAGATGGCTGATCGGCTGGCCCAGGATGGATGGCGGGACCTGGGCTATGTGTACCTGAACATTGATGACTGCTGGATTGGTGGGCGCGATGTCCAGGGCTTCCTGGTGCCCGATTCCAAGCGCTTCCCCCATGGCATTGACTTCCTGGCTGATTATGTGAGCCCCTAGCCCCTGGCCTGAGGACCACGCCACCCCTTTCCCTTCAGTCTTGGGGTTTGTCTATGCCATCCCTGCTTAAGAACTGTTTGGTGGTGGGAAGTGGCAAATGAACTTTGCTTTTGGCCCATAGAGGAGAGGAGGGGGCGGGGGAGAATCACCAGGAAAATCCCCTGGAAGACTCGGCTAGTTCTTAAACTGATCCAGAAAGGGGGCCTTTGAGGCAGAAACAAAGGCCTTGAGACCAGACAGCAAGAGGGGATGGAATGTATGCTGAGGGAGGCAGGCTGGGACCTCTCCTTTGGCCAGTAGGAGCTGCTCAAGCATTCTGTGGTTTGCTGGTAGAGGAGCTTAAATTCAGCCCTCATACATGCTCAGCCTGCATGCTTGGTCCTCTATAACTTGAGCCATATCTCCAGTCCAGCTCTTTGCTGGTTATTTTTTTTTTTGGGGTCCGGTCGTGGGGCTTGAACTCTGGGCCTGGGCGCTGTCCCTCAGCTCTTCAGCTCAAGGCTAGCACTCTACCACTTGAGCCACAGCACCACTTCCGGCTTTTTTCTTTTTGCTTATGTGGTGCTGAGGAATCGAACTCAGGGCCTCATGCATGCAAGGCAAGCGCTCTACCACTGAGCCACCTTCCCAGCCCCTTTGCTGGTTATTTTGAAGATGGAGTCTGGTGGCCTTTTCTTTTTCTTTTTTGTGTCAGTTGTGGGGCTTCAATTCTGGGCCTGGGCGCTGTCCCTCAGCTCTTCAGCTCAAGGCCAGCGCTCTACCACTTGAGCTACAGCGCCACTTCCGGTTTTCTAGTGGTTTATTGGAGATAGGAGTCTCATGGTCTTTCCTGCCCAGGCTAGCTTTGAACCGCGATCCTCAGATCTCAGTCTCCTGAGTAGCTAGGATGACAGGTGTGAGCCACCAGCGCCCGGCTCTGGTGGCCTTTTCTGCCCAGGGTTGGCTTCAAACCTTCACCTTCCCTTCTGAGTAAGTAGGCAGGAGCTACCAATGCCAGACATAAGCCAAAGTGTATTTTTGTTTGGTTTTTGTTTTTTCAGTTGTGGGGCCTGAGCTCAGGGCCTGGGCACTGTCCCTGAGCCTCTATGTGCTCAAGGCAAGGTTCTACCACTTGAGCCTCAGCACCACTTCTGGTTTTGAATGGTTAATTAATTGGAGATGAGTCTCATGGGACTATTCTGCCTGGGCTGGCTTCAAAGTGAGATCCTCAGATTGCAGCCTTCTTGAGCCGGAGTTTTAATGGGCCCTGATCACACATGTCTGGGAGGAGGCTCCCTGGGGTCCCACTTGACCACCATATCCTCAACCCCCTACAGGCTCATTCCCTGGGTCTGAAGCTGGGCATCTATGCGGACATAGGCAACCTTACCTGCATGGGCTACCCTGGCACCACTCTAGACAAGATAGAGCAGGATGCTCAAACCTTCGCCGACTGGGAGGTAGACATGCTGAAGTTGGATGGCTGCTTTTCCACCTCCCAGGAACGGGCCGAGGGTGAGTTCCACAGCTTGCGTCGGTCTGTCGGATAGATCAGGCCGTGGCCATGTGAGCTTGGTTTGTCTGTGCATTCTCCAGCCATAGCTGTCCCCAACTCCCCTCTCCCAGAAGCTGGAGATTGGGGTCCCCAGGCTTCACAAAGACAGGGTGACCCACCTGCCTCCGTGAGGCCTGCTTGAGGCTCAGGGTACAGGAGGGCCACTTCTTCTTTGGGGCCTCAGGTTACACATATTTGGTGGGAAAAGGCCCCAGACTTGTCTCTCCTGTACCTGCTTAGTCCTCAAATTGGGCTTTCTCCAGGGTACCCCAAGATGGCTGCCGCCCTGAATGCCACAGGCCGCCCCATTGCCTTCTCCTGCAGCTGGCCAGCCTACGAAGGTGGCCTCCCCCCCAGGGTAAGCCATTCTGTGTACCTGCCTGCCAGGGCTCCCTACACTTGGGCCTCCTTGCCCCCTACGTGCCAGGCCTCCGGGAGGCAGCCACCAGAGCCAGGATGCTCACTTACAGCTAGCTAGGGACAGGGCTGTGGCACACTAAAGGGAGCTCCTGCTGTCCCAGTCTCCAAGGTGGCCTCTTTGTTGTGTGGATGAATGGCATCCAAAGCAGGAAGGCTGTGGGCATGAGCAGTGTCATGCAGTGGTCAGAGTCCTAGGTTGTACCAGGTAGACGAAGAGATGATGGCAGCTAGGCAGTGCCACAGAAGGAAGCGCAAGCACCTCCCGCCCCCAGATGTCAGGGAGATGGCAGCAGGTGGGAACTCCTGCTGAGGAAACGGGGGTGGGGAGCACGTGCAGGGGGTGAGGGCTGTGTGCACCAGCCATGGCAAGCAAAGGCATAGACAGCCCCATAACAGGCCCTCCCCCCCAGGGTTCTTGTTACCATACAAACTTGAGGGTCTGTTCCTGCACCCCTTCCCAGTCCAAGTGGCTTCTGGGCAGCAGGGTGACACGTGGCCTCTGCCTTCCCCAATATCCAGGTTGACTACGAACTGCTGACCAACACCTGCAACTTCTGGCGTAACTATGACGACATCCAGGACTCCTGGAAGAGCGTGCTTTCCATCCTGGACTGGTTTGTGAGCCATCAGAATATTCTGCAGCCAGTGGCCGGCCCCGGACACTGGAATGACCCCGACATGGTACCAGCTTGAAAAGGGGCTGCCCCTAATCCACCGTCTCTGCCAACCCCGTGCTGCTGTCCTGTGCTCCCCTTCCAGGCTTTGTGTCATTCAGGACCTGTCAGACCCCACCTTCCTTTTGCCTGAGAATATTCAGGAAAAGGATCTGGGAATGCCCATTGTTAACTGCCTCCCAGGTCATTCCGATGGTTTTCAAAGCCTGGGAGCCCTGATGGTAGCCGCCCACTCCTGCAGAGGAAGCTGTGTCCGCAGGCTGAAGACCTCGGCAGTTGTGTTGTTTGGCCCTTCTCAATACCTTTCGGTCATCTGCCTTCTAGTACCTTGCACCTTGTGTCAGACCTGCTCAGTCCCCAGGCACAAGGGCAACTCAGTCCTGCTTCCAGTCTTATCTCAGTCCTACCTAGTGACTTTTTTCCTCTTTTACTTGCATTGTTTTTATTATCTGTGCCAGTACTGGGGTACTCAGGGCTTGGGAGCTGTCCCTTGGCTTCTTCACTCAGGGCTAGCACTCTACCACTTGAGCCATACCTCTACTTCTGGCTTCTGAACTTTCCTGCCCAGGCTGGCTTTCAGCTTCAATCCTCAGATCTCAGCCTCCTGAATAGCTAGGATTACAGGCATGAGCCACCAGCACACTGGTAAGACTTCTGCCCCTTTGAATTTCCATGTTGTTTATCTCTGCCCTTTGCAAAGGGATCAGTGGTGCTTAAATCTCTGGAGAGCTTTCCTGCCGTCATCTCTGAGTGTCTGAAGTTTCAGCTTATGGGATTTTTCAGTACTTGAAAAATCCTTGGAGCCTACAGCCCAGACGGGCATGGTGGCTCGAGCCTGTAAGTCCAGTTACTCTGGAGGTAGAGGCAAGAGATTCTCAAATGCAAGTCAGTCCAGGAGAGCTAAGTGAGACTGGAACATAGTTCAAGAGGCCCTGGGTTTTTTTTTTTAATTTTTTATTATGATTAAGTAATTACATAAATTTCACAAACTTCATAGTATTGTGAGATGTGACACTTAAAGTCACAAACACATTCTAACCTTCATGAGGCAAACTGTCATTATTGTAAGTAAACTCAGGAATTTACTCTTCATCTTGTAAGCCTATAGGAAGCTACTGTTAATTCCAATGCATCCCTCCTTCCCCTTTGCTGGTTAATTGGCAATAAGAGTCTTTCAGATTGGTTTGCCTGGGCTGGCTTCAAAACTTGATCCTCAGAACTCAGCCTCCTGAGTAATTAGGATTACAGAGTGCCCAGCTAGGAAGCAAATTGCATCACGAAGTATACTATTGGAGCCCTGGTTTTGTAATAGCCAATAATGAGACCTGGTCTAAAACATCAATCCATCCTATCCTTAGGACAGTAATCTTTGTTTGGCAAGTGTACTCAACTCTGGCCATCTTAAGAATTTATTTTTATTTTTTTATTGTGAAAATACTGTACAGAGGGGTTACAATTACAAGATAATAGGTACATTTCTTATCAAGCATTGTAGCCTCCTCCTTTGTTTCCCCTTCCCATCCCTTCCCAGCCTCCCCCTGCACCCCCAAATCCTAAGAATTTCTATGAACTGAAGCTGAGTGTGGTGGCTCAAGCCAGCAATCCTGCTTACTTGGGAGGTGGAGATTATGGATTTGGGCTTAAGGCCTGCCCATAAAAGTTCTGAGACTCCATCTCAATTAAGGCCTGGGAGTGGTGGTGTGTACCTGTCATCTTGGCTAGGAGGGACAAGGAGCACAGGGCTAGATGCAGTAGCACAAACTGTCATCTCTAATCATATGGAGGAAGGCGCAGATAGGATTTCAGCCAAGCTGGCCCAGGCATAGGTAATACTAGACTTTGAAAATAACCAAGGCAAAAAAGGGGCTGGAAGTGTGGCTCAAACGGTAGAGTGCCTGCCTAGCAAGCATGAGGCTCTGGAGTTCAGTACTCATTACTGCCAAATAAATAAGATTATGGTGGACTCTGTGGATTTTTCTCACAATCAAGGTCAAGTCCAGCTGGACTGATCTGTGAGGACTCTCCTTGTCCTCACACAGGGTGTTTGTAAAAAGGAGGAGGAAGACCTCGCTTCTTACGTTATTTATATTTTTAGTAGAAAGCTGAACTCAGCTTCAAGCTTTCATGTGTGTGTCGGTCCTGGGGCTTGAACTCAAGGCCTGGGTGGTATCCCTGAGCTTTTTTGCTCAAGGTTCTACCACTTGAGCCACAGCTCCACTTCCAGCTTTTTGCTGGTTAAGTGAAGACAAGATTCTCTTGGACCTTGCTGCCCAATCCTCAGCTCTCAGTCTTTTGAGTAACTAGAACTGCAGGCATGAACCCACAGGTACCCAGCTGGCCCTGTGCTCTTGAGGGGGAAAAGGCTGGTGCTCAGATGAAAAGTAACTTGCTCACCCCAGGCCACATGGCGTTGGCAAGCCAGGCCCTCACATGTGCCATCGCTCCCAGAGCTGTGGCCACATGTCGGGCTCTGATCCTGGTGCCCACCACCCAGGAGACAGTGTCAACGCTTGCTTTCTTCTCCTGCAGCTGCTCATTGGAAACTTTGGCCTCAGCTTTGAGCAAGCCCAAGCCCAGATGGCTCTGTGGACTATATTGGCAGCCCCACTCTTCATGTCCAACGACCTGCGAACCATCTCCCCTCAGAACATGGACATTCTGCAGAATCCACTCATGATCAAGATCAACCAGGACCCCTTAGGCATCCAGGGGCGCAGGATTGTTAAGGTACTGGAGCCTGAGCTCTCCTGACAGCGAAGTTGCTGATATGGAGGACCTGGGTAGGGGGCCCTAAGTTTCTTCCTGGCTACATGCACTTAAAGGCTCTGCTAGGAGCTGCGGCAACTTCCCCCTTCCTTCCTGGGGAGAGCAGGGACAGAGTAGGACAGCACGCACAAGCAGAGAGGAGATGTGTCACCATACAAGTGCAGAGTGCAAATGGGAGGCACAGGGCTTCTGCAGAGAGTGAGAAGGCTTCCCTCTGAAGTTTAATAAATGATCTTGGCCGAAAACTCTTACTGTATTTCTGCTGCTACTACTGAACACTTACTATGTGCTGGGGATTCTAAATGTATTTTCTCAGCAAAGTAGTTACTCTCCATTTTACAAATGAGGAGACAAAGTTGCAGAATCTAAATAGCTTTATCTCAAGTTGAAATGACTTCGTGTCACCTCAACGTCTGCTCAAATCCTTGACTAGTTTTAAAAAAAACTCTTCTGTACATTTTAATAACCATAAAGTAATATTTTTTAAAAAGTCTGAAACCAGGCACCAGTGGCTCAAACTTGTAATCCTAGCTACTCAGGACGCTGAGTCTCAGGATCACAGTTGGAAGCCAGACCAGGCAGGAAAGTCTATGAGATTCTTATTTCCAACTAACCACCAAAAACCCAGAGTGGTGCTGTGGTTCTAAGTGGCAGAGCACTAGCCTTAAGGGTAAAAGCTCAGGGACAGCGCCCAGGCCTTGAGTTCAAACTCCATAACCCACCCCCACACACCAAAAAAAAACCCTGCAAAACTAGAGAAGGCACCTGTAGCCCTAATGATGACCAGAGGAGACAGTAGCCGGAGCCAAAGAAGTGGATGGTGGACTGGGCCTAGGCCTTCTGTTTTGTTCTCACTGGTCAAGGGCTTCCCCGGCAGCACTCACATGGGATGCTCTTGCTACTTCAGCCTCGTCATCCTGTGTGAGCTTCCGAGGCTGGGCCTCCTGCACCATTTGTGTCTGCCGCCTCCAATGGGTGTGGAGGAGTGTGTGTATCACTGAGCATCAGTGAGTCAGGGAAGATAAATTCCTGTAAGTGCTAGAAGACTGTGTAGCCAAGCTGTGGGCTGGTTGGGACAGAGCTCAAGGGAGAGTCTGGCAGAGGATTCAAGGTAGCCATCTTTCCTGCCCAGGAGAAATCCGACATTGAAGTGTACAAGCGGCCCCTTTCCCGTCAAGCTACTGCCTTGGTCTTCTTCAGCCGCAGGACAGACATGCCTTACCACTACCACTCCTCCCTCTCACGGTTCAATTATTCCGGCTCCAGGCTGTATGAGGTGAGTGCCCAGCCCCCACCTGTTTTCCCTGGGAGGGTGTCTGCCTGTAGTGTCTTTGCTCTTAAGTAGGTGGCTTCTGCAGGTACCTGTGCACCAGTGTTTTCCAGTCATGCAAATGGAACTACTGTGTATACACGAGCCTCCTTCGCCCCTCAGGCTCGTCCTTGCTCATAGGTCAGCCTTTGTGGCTCTGGTGTTCCTGGGTGTCCATTGCTGCCTGTGCTTGGATATCTGTCAGCTTTGCTGATGAAGAGACTTCTGTTGGGCATTCTGGAAGCCTTGCATAGACAGGAAGCCCACGTGCAGGCTTTGCTAGTCTGAGGGAGGTCTGTATAGCTCTTCTTCTCATGCTAGCATCTACGGTATCTCCACTGCAGGTCCAGAACGTGTTCACGGGGGAAACCATCAGTGGCCTCCAGAATAACACCAACTTCACAGTGATCATCAATCCTTCGGGGGTAGTGATGTGGTACCTGTATCCCACCAAGAACCTGGAGATATCCAAGCTGATGTCCCAGGAGTGAAGAGCTGAGACAGGTGACAGGCTGTGGCAGCCCACTGGGCCTGGACCATGGCGCGCGGGCATGCCCAGAGCAAGTGGGCAGGGTCCTCTCTCCTCCCTGGGCCATGGCGAGCTGGCAAGCCGAGAGCAGGTGGGCAGGGGTCTCTCCACCCTGGGCCTGCTCCAAGACCTGACCTCATCACACACACAAAGTGCAACTCAGGGCCAGCTTCCAGGCCCCACCCAAGTGTGGTCCTCTTGGAAACTCTGCTTGGGGCCTTCTTGGCCTCTCCTGGTCTCCACTGCTCTGCAGGTATTGCTGCACACCCTGACCAGCCTCCTGAGCCCCACAGGTGGAGGGGCACCGATGCCCACCAGACTCCAGCCTCTGACTTTGTTGTGACTCTGAAATCAAGATTTGGAATTTTTCTAATTAGGTATAGAGATCTAAGCCCTTGCTGGAAACTCATGAATCATGTGATTGACTTTCTTACTGGGAAAAGGCCTTGCAGGCTGAAATCTCCTGGGAGTGGGGGTCGGAGAGGAGGTGTGTTGCTCCCTTCCATCACAATAAAGCTGTTCTTCAGTCAAACAGTCGTTATGCAGGCCTTGGGCTGTGGGCTCCTAAGGACCCTTGTAGGGCACTACCCATGATGTTCATCTTACTTTACATGAAACATACATTTCCACAATGGCCTTTTTTGTTTTTGCTTTGTCTGAGATCAGGACTGGAACTCGGTATCTGATACTTTCACTCACTGGCAGGCACTCTACCCCCAGAGGCGAGTAGCAGGTCTCCAGGGCCTGCCGCTTGTGCTCTGGCCAGCAGAGTCTCCTGGTCTAGCATCTCAGCCTGCTCGCTTGTCTCTCAATGTCTCCATTCCCAGCCTGACTACATGTAAAGTTCAGATTCTCTAGCTGTGTCTACAACTCTGGGGATTCTTTCTGTCCTGAAATCTGTTTCCTCCTCCTAAGGAAAAGGAGAAGCAGTGAGAGCAGCAGGTTCTTGACCGCCTCCCCAAGGCTCCTACTCCCAAGCCCTCAGGTCTTCAGCTTCCTGGGGACTCCCTTCGGTATTTGGAAAGATAGTAGCAAAGCAAGTTCACTAGGTCCTATTTATGCATCAGTATGGGAACACTCAGTGTTGCAGGCCCTGTACTCTGGCTATGTGGGATCTTTTGTTTTTGTTTTTTGCTTTTTTTTTTGGGGGGGGCGGTTCTGGGGCTTGAACTCAGGCACTGACCCTGAGCTTTTTTTTGCTCATGGCTAGCACTCTACCACTCAAGCCACAGCTCCATTCCGAGCTTTTATGGTAGTTAATTGGAGATAAGGTTCCAGGGACTTTCCTACCTGGGCTGGCTTTGAACAGTGATCCTCAGATCTCAGCTTCCTGAGTAGCTAGGATTACAGGTGTGAGCCACTAGTGCTCAGCTTGGACCTCATCTTGATAAGATTGTGAGAAGCCTTGTGTCCTCAGGATTGTGAGGTCCTTATGTCCAGAATAGGGTGAGAAGAACTTAGAAGGACATTTTCCAGTGTCATTTAAGATGACTAGAACTTGGCTGATTAAGTCACCACATTTGATTGGTATGTTAGAGTCACTAGAGAAAGCTCCATTCTCCACGGATGTCTGAGACTGACACACTCAGGAAGACAGAGCCTGGCCATTCCAGGCCAGTTACTGTGGGTGCAACTGCAGCCTTGAGTCTTGGTTGCAGTGCTATTCAAGCCACATGGAGTGGCAGCTGGTGGAGAGGCCTCTCTAGCTCAGGAAAGCAGCTGGAGATGAGATGCAGTGGAGTCCCAGGGTTAGGAGTTGGGGTCAAGGTGTGCTGTACTTGACTAATTTCTTTCTCTCAGATCCAAAGATGCTCACATGACTTGTCCTTTCATTGTGAGGGTGCTGGTAGATTCCATCTCTTCACCCTTCACACAACACACACATGCCCTATCTTCCAGGACACATTCTCACTTTTTTCCACAGGACAGTTAAGGACTCATTTTTTTCCCATTCAAGGCATCCTTCTTTGCATCCAAGAATAAAACAGTCCTTGGAAGTGGCGCTGTGGCTCAAGTGGCAGAGCACTAGCCTTGAGCTGAAGAGCTCAGGGACAGCACCCAGGCCCAGAGTTTAAGACCCACACAGACAAAAAAACAAAAAAAACGCCTACACCTATTGCTGAGTGTTGGTGACTTATAATCCTTGCTACCCAGATGGCTGAGATCTGAGTATTGTGGTTCAAAGCCAGCCATGGCAGGGAAGCCTACGAGACCCTTATCTCCAATTAACCATCAAAAAGTGGAGCTGTGGTTCAAATGGTAGAGCACAGCCTGGAGTAAAAAGCTAAGGAACAGTGCTCAGGCTGAGTTCAAGTCCCAGTACCAGTGTGCACGCACGCATGCACACGCACGTGCACACACACATACACACTTACTATGGAAATTTCCAAACAAAAATACATATAATGGCCAGATGCTGGTGGCTCACACCTGTAATCCTAGCTACTCAGGAGAATGAGATCTGAGGATCGCGGTTCAAAACCAGCAGGAAAAGTCCGTGAGACTCTTACCTCCAATAAACCACCAGAAAACCAGAAGTGGCGCTGTGGCTCAAGTGGTAGAGCACTTGCCTTGAGCTGAAGAGCTGAGGGAGAGCATCCAAGCCCAGAGTTCAAGTACCACAGCCAAAAAAAACAAACAAAAACAATGAATTTGTGTATATAGCCACCACATAGCTCCGACAACTAGCACCTTGTACCACTCACTGCTTCATCTCCTCCCACACACGCTTCTCTGGCTTGTATCTGAAAACAAAGCTCAGAAGCCTTAGACAGGATTTCAGAAAAATTTACTACTTTAATATCTCTATCCAACACAACTTAGAAATAATTACCTATGTTTGGTGTTTGTTGTCTCAAAAAAAATAGCTTTCTATAACTTCAATCATGGTTCAAGCAAGGGATCAGCAAAAACAGTCTATTCAAAACTACTGAAAGTCTGCCCTGCCTTACCACACATGCAATGTGGAAAAAACCCTTGCTACATACTGTCAGCGCCAATTTACAGAAAATACTGGAAATTAACCAAAAGCTTGCAGTAACCCATAGAGCATTCAGCTGGCAAAAAAAAAAAAAAAAAGTTTGGGTAAGCATAGTAAACTTCGAGGTATTTCAACTCTTCTTTTGTAGCAGATTTTAATAGTCTAAAATCAAAGAGTTAGGGGCTGGGAAGGTGGCTCAGTGGTAGAGTGCGCTTGCCTTGCATGCATGAGGCCCTGGGTTCGATTCCTCAGTACCACATAAGCAAAAAGAAAAAAGCGGAAGTGGCACTGTGGCTCAAGTGGTAACCGAGCGCTCGCCTTGAGCTGAAGAGCTGAGGGACAGCACCTAGGCCCAGAGTTCAGGCCCCACGACCAGACCCAAAAAAATTAAATAAATAAATAAATAAAATCAAAGAGTTAAAGGAAATCAGGTATAAAGAATTAGAGAATAAATATCTCAATAAATAGTAATAGAATTTGAAATTATATCCTTGCTACTTTGGAGGTAAAGACAGAAAGAGCAAAGTTCAAGGCAAGCCTGGAAAAAATCACAAACCCCTATCTCAAAAAAAAAAAAAAAGATCCAGGCATAGTTGCACATGCTTATAATCCCATCTTCTTAGGAGGTAGATATAGGAGGATTGTGTTTCAAGGCCAGCCCAGACAACATTAATATATCTGGAAAAACTAAAACTAAAAGCAAAAGGAAGGGCACCTCATGTGATAGAGCACTTACCTACCAAGCATGAAATCCTGAGTTCAAACTCTCGTACTGCAAAAAGAAGAAATAGAAATGACAGAAGACCAAGGAGAAATTCTGCACTTGAAAACGTGCTGAGATGAAATACTTCATTAGAAGGGTCTAATAGGCAGAATCAGCAAACTTGAAAATAGGAATGTTGAAGTTAACCTGAAGAACAAGAGTTATGAATAAAGAATAAAGCTTCAGAGACCCACAGAATACCATCAAGTATACAAATACACAAGATGAAAGAGGCAGTCTATGTGCAGAAACAAATAGTGAAAACTCCCACATTTGGTGGAAAAGTTAATCTGCATGTTTCAGAAGCTCAACCAACTCCAAGTAGAATAAACGCAGAGACAAACCTGTAGGCTGATTATAATCAAAACCCATAGGTAAAATTTGAAAGCAGCAAAAGCGTCTCATTACATTCAAGGGAGCCTCAAGATCTACAACTGACTTCTCATCAGAAACCATGGAAAGAGACCAAACTCTCTGCAATAGATGAGTGGATCCAAGCAATGTACCTATACACAATGTAATTTTACACAGCCATTAGAATGAAGAATATTATGTAATTTTCAGGAAAATGAATGGACCTAGAACAAATTATGTCAAGCCAAGCTCAGAGAGACAAACACTACATGTATTCCCTCAAATGTGGAATATACCAGGATGTGGAATCCTACAGGATTCTAGCTAGGCATTCACATACAGTGAGACCAAAGGAGGATATTCTTTATTTATTTTGTTTTTGCCAGTCCTGGGGCTTGAACTCAGGCCTGGGCACTGTCTCTGAGCTTCTTTTGCTCAAGGCTAGCACTCTACCACTTGAGCCACAGCACCACTTCCGGCTTTTTCTGTGTATGTGGTACTGAGGAATTGAACCCAGGGCTTCATGCATGCTAGGCAAGCGCTCTACCACTAAGCCACATTCCCAGCCCAAAAGGATATTTTTTTTGGGGGGGAGGGGTCTGGTTGTGGGGCCTGAACTCTGGGCCTGAGCGCTGTCCCTCAGCTCTTCAGGTCAAGGCTAGCACTCTACCACTTGAGCCACAGCACCACTTCCAGCTTTTTTATGTGATGCTGAGGAATCGAATGCAGGGCCTCATGCATGCATGGCAAGCGCTCTACCACTGAGCCACCTTCCCAGCCCCAGGATATTCTTTTTTTTTTTTTTTGGTCCTGGATCTTGAATTCTGGGCCTGGGGGCTGTCCCTCAGCTCTTTAGCTCAAGACTAGCGCTCTGGCACTTGAGCCATAGATCCACTTACGGTTTTCCGGTGGTCTAAAAGAGTCTCACAGACGTTCCTAATTGTACTCATTACCTGATTTATATAACTGTAACCCCTCTATATTTCACCTTTGTAATCATTTTTTTTTTTGGTCCAGTCGTGGGGCCTGAACTCTGGGCCTGGGTGCTGTCCCACAGCTTTTCAGCTCAAGGCTAGCATTCTACCACTTGAGCCACAGCACCACTTCCGACTTTTTTCTTATGTGGTGCTGAGGAATCGAACCCAGGGCCTCAAGCATGTAAGGCAAGTGTTCTACCACTGAGCCACCTTCCCAGCCCTGCAATAATTTCTTAAAAGAACAATCATGCCCTGAAAAATAACAAAGACATATGCCTACATAAAAAACTGTACATAAAGTCTTCATTTGTGCATTCTGTATGTGTGCCAGTGCTCAGACTTAAACTCGAGACCTGGCCACACTCCCTTAGCTTTTATGCTCAAGGCTATTCAAGCCATAGCTCCCCTTCTGGCTTTTTACTGGTAGTGTCTCCCCACCCCGGACTGCCTTCAAACCA